GGCAGGGTCCCAGGGATTCGCGCGACTCGTTGCTTCGCGCGCGGCAGCAATATTTTGCACGAAGTTGGCAGCGACAACAATTTCCTGAGGGAACCGTGACGGAGACGTCGTCGCAATCGCATGCCGACCAGGAGTATCATGGCAGGGCGCGCGCGAGGATCAGCAAGGGGGAGAATGGTTCAATATGTTTCAATATTTCGGCCCAGAAAAAACTGAAAGCAAACTCCAACATGGGATTCTTGAGACACGCCCAGGGCAAGACACAGTGGAAGTTTAAGAATGGCATGTGGTATATAAGCACTGGGCGTCCGAATTGAATGAACGTGAAAAGACGGCGGGAGCCCGCGGGCTGAGCGGCTCGAAGGAGCTCAACGGCGACGAAGAGAAGAACGACGCGCAGGAGAACATCCGAGCAGCATTCGCGTCAACGGGGTCGGCGTTGGTGTCGGGTGGGGCCCCCGCAGCCCCGATCAAGCAGGGGCCGGGCCGGGCTCGGCCGCGGCCGGCGAAAAGGAGCCAGATGGCGGGGCTTGGGCCGGGCATCCGGCGCACGAGAAGACCGCGAAGGCCTCGAGGGCCAGCCCGAACGCAGCGTTCGAGCATGCAGCGATGCAATCGTCGACGTCAATGACATGTTCGGACAGACCAAGGATGGGAAGCGCACGCAGCGTTTGAAGGAGGAACCGGGGAAGGCCGCCCCGAGGTTCAAAATTAACTACAAGAACATCGAGAAGCTGACCGCATCAGGAGACTCCGAGGCAGACGCTGTTCACCTACCTTCGGCGCCGGCCTTCGGTGGCGACCGCGAAAACTTCGACGAGTATTCATCCGAAGACGATGGGGAAATATTCGAAGGAGAAGAGGATTAAGGGCGGCGCGTGAAAGCACGTAGCTCGGCGCGCAGAGAAGCTGGCGCCATGCGCAGCGCGGCGACCTAGTCGGGCGCGGAAGAGCCCCTGGAACAGGCCGCGCGCACATGCGGAACCAGAGCAGGTTGCTCAGTAAGAGAAAGCCGTGTTAGGGCCCCTTGGTGCCCCAGGGTTCCTTCAGGCCCTCTCGGGTCCTCTTTGGCTTTCAGGCCCTGCTTGGGATCATTCGGCCTGGGCGCCCGTGGATCATTCGGCCCTTTTCTCATAGGTCTCCATAGGCGCCGCGGGGCCCTCTGAGGCCCTCTCAGGTTTTCAAGGTTCCTCGAGCTCTCTTGGGGCCTTGGGGGCCTTATAATCGCGCCTGGCATCGTCGAAAACTACATCGTAAAACGGAATGCAGCTTGGAGCCGTTCTGGGGCGATCTTGGGGCCGCCCAGTCCGGGGCCGTCTCGGGCCAGCCTTGGGCCGTCGACGTTTCGGGGTGATCGTTGCGCCATCCGGAATTCTCATCGTCATTGCCTCTGCTTCCGTCGCGAATAGCCCTAATACTCGGGTAGCAGTCGCCAGTGGCATCGCGAACGTCACGGCCGCACTCGTTGTCGATGCTGGCACCATCAACGCGATGATGATGACGATGGTGACGAACATAGCCGTCAACATCACGATGAACAGCAGCATTCCGACCATCATCATCATCATCATCATCATCATCACCATCGGCATCCTGCGTAGCCACCGTTGGGCCCCACCATGGCATTGCGATCTTCTCTGCACCGATAATTAATGTGCTCATTTTCTGTTGGGAGCTGCTCCATGTTGTCGTGCCTGGGCGTGGGATGCGGCGGAGTGCGTCTGCGTTGCCTCGCTCTGGCGCGAGCGCGGTCTCAATGGCGAGCGACGCGCGTGCCTCGACCTCGGCGGGAACGTCGCCGAGTTCTAGAGGTCGAGGCGGCGCGCGCCAAAGGCGCGCGGCGGCCTCGCCTGCATCTGCCACGCCCGCCGCCGGGCGACGGGGGGGGGGGGGCGGCGAGGCGCGCGGCCGCGGCGTGAGTTCAAGACATTTCAGATCCAGCCGCCGCGGCATGCAGCGAGTGCACGCGACGGGACTGGGCGAATGGTTATCCGCAAGTAACAAAGAGGTGGAGTACGCCCAGGTTGCTTTTGAACAAGGTGCGGGTGGAGCTGATACACTTGCAGGCGACCCCTGCAATGCTCGCAGGTTCACCGGCTCCGCGCCCGACGACCCAACGGGCGCTCCAGAGCTTGATGGGGTCGAGTTAGTGCGCAAGAATCAGGACAACTGTTGTGCATCCATTCGGCTGTCCATTGAAGTGAGTTCAGACCGTAGTTTTGCTGTTGCCCCGCCCGGTCTCTTTTAAGCCAGCGCGCGCGGCCCTCCAGGCGAGAAAACATATAACAGGCGGAAGATTCGGAATGCTCCTCCACGTCCCCATGGCGCTGCTCGCGGCGAGCGTACATGGCCACAGTGCGCCAACTACTACTAATGCGGGCAGCTTGCATTTGCTGTTTCCCGGATCGTTTCATGCGAGTGGTTCCACTTTTGATGAGCGATGTGCAGGTCAGGGTCGCAGTTGCACAGACCGGCGATGTTTCGGCTCGAAGTTTAGAAGCGTTGGCCAGCAGCATTGCGTGGAGCTTCAACGCTTTACCTGGTGGGACTATGCCCAGCGCGGACTGGCTTGGGTGATATCGGCCCGACGCATGGTTGCATTGACCCACGGGGTTGCGCGTGGCGAGCGCTGCGCTTCGAAGGGGATTTGGGAATTCACTCAGGTTTTCAGCGGCTTCCCTGGCCCAGCGCCCGTGCAAGACATGCGCTGGAAATGCAGAGCGCCACTGCGCAGTGGAGAACTATGTTGGACAACAGTATCAGAGCACGTTGGAGACGAACGGCCCGCGCGCGCGTGTCGCGCGTCCAGGAATTCAGAGATCGAGGTGAAGAGCCCCCCGCTATTTCTCGGATTCGGACCCTGCGGTTCCAGGGAGTTCTCGGCGCGATAGATCATGGCTTCGCGCCCAGTGTCGTCGGCAATGCGATATGCAAGGCGAAAAATGAGAATTTGAAAGGTTGGTACAATTCAAACATGCAGGACCGATGGGGGGACCGCATGCAAACGGATAAAACAAGTCAGGACGCTGGCCGCTGGCATTGTGCAGGGCCGCTGCGTGTAGGTGGTTGGCGAGCTATATCCAATTCAAACCATGGCGCGTGGAGAAATAAAACATGCGAGGTTTTGGTCGGCATGTACAAGAACATTCGCGATGTTGCTCGTTTCGTGCCCCCCTTAAAAATAGCAGGACGTGGGTTGTGCGTCGAGCGCCTTTTTGGCATAGTTTTCGAAGTTTGCGCCTGAGGCGTCCGAACATAACCAGCGTCTGGAGAAGCCCATTCCGCAGTTTCACATGTGCCAACACATCATGCAGGAATATGTTGCCTACTTCGGTCCGACACGCACGTGAGTATATGCAGATGAAGATGCGCAGTGGATTTTCAAAACGGTTGCTCGGAACGCATATTATTTTAACATTTCGTGCGTTGTATTGTTCAAGCGGGCAGCGTTGAAATTCGATTCGCACCAGGATCGGCAGAGCAAAACATAGAAAGGAAAAGAGCACATGTCCCCCAAATGCGCCCAATGTGGCCCGCATATTACCCAGGAGACCCCACGGCCTCCACTTAACAAGGGCGAGAGCAAACACCGGGAGGAGGAGGAGGAGGAGGCGGAAGAGGAGGAGCAGGAGGAGGGCGATGAGGAGGAGGACGAGGAGGAAGAGCGAAAGTGAACGAAAAGGAGGACACATACCACATGGTACCGGGGCAAACGACCGACATTCAGGCGCACGATACTTGTGTACTTGTTTATTTATTGTCTGAGAGTTCCATACACATCATACATTGCGGTTTATTGACCGCCGTATCCAGTTGAAACGACATTATAGTTACCGCAGTGTGTTGTTTTCTTTGTCCGCGCTAGAAACATGGCGCGTGCGATATGCTCTGCGCGGCTGCGTTCTCATGGTACGACCATCGCTGCAACGTGCTGCGGTGAATGACATTGTTATTGTCATGTGCGTCGTGGAGACATTCTGAACGCAGGTGGACGGCAAGCATGACGATAACGATGGCCGCACAGAATGAGAGCGCATGGCCTGCAAAACCAAAACGCAGCGCGATGACAATGACAACGACATCCACACCATCATGTTCCAGTGTCGGTGTTACCATGACAACGCAGCCGTGCTGCGCAGAGCACACGCGCCATGTTCTTAGTGCGGACAGAGAAACAACGCAAACCTGTAAATATAGCATCGCTTCAATAGGGTATGGTTATCGATGCCCGACGCGGTGTACGATTTCTTTGGAATTGTCATACAACAGGTAATCAGTGAGAAACGCTCGTGCGTTTGATTTCGGTCGCGCGCGCTCGAATTACGGCGCGTGCTCGCGGAAAAAAGGACCGCAAGAGGCTGCGGGCAGAGGTTTGCAATGATCTTTTGAGGCGCCCACGGATCTGCAATTGCGGACTCTCGCAGGTCCAAGATTTTTCGCCGCCTTCGGAGGAAAGGAGTGCGACGCCACCCCCACCACATGGGATGCAACTTCCAGCGAGAAGGTCCACGATGCCTGTTCGAGCTGAGATTGGGGATGTCTCGAGCGGAGAGGGCACCACACTGCCAGGAGGACCCCCCCTCGGGGTTCCTCGCGCTGGTGGTGTCCACAACCTGAATATGCCCATAGCCTCTGCTTCGGAGTCGTCTCCCGGGCTCTCGAGGAGCGGTGTATGTGGATGTCTGCCCGCCCACGGGGGCGGACCATATCCACGGGTCCCCGAGTTCTTCGAGCACATTCTGCGGCAGTGGATATGAACATAATTGCTGGCCTTCTGCCCACCCCGCCACCGCAGCTGGGTTTTCAGGTCAGAGGTAATGTTGGGCCCGGGCTTGAGGACTGAGGACTACAAGGGACCCGAAGACATTACAGGTCGTTCCTCGCGACACGGTGGTGGATTCTGGCGGCGCATGGTGGTGGTGGTTCTCCCTGTTCCTGCGTTTGTGCTCTGCGTTCACCGTGCTCCCCCCCTCCTCTGCTCGCACCCTTCTCGCCCAGAGGACCGCCACGCTCAGCTTGCCACAGACCTTGCGGACCGCGAGAAGCTCATCGAGCAGTATGAGCAGGAGAGCCGTGACCGCCTTGCCATTTGGGAAGGCTAGGAGGAATGAGAGGGAGGGGGGGGGATGAGACGGGCTTACAGCAGGAGGGAGGAGGAACGATGAGGAGGAGGATGGAGGAGGCGGAAGAGAGGAGGGAGGGGGAGGAGAGAGGCAGGAGGATGATCAGGAGGAGGGGTCAGGAAGGAGGCGGAGGCGGAGGAGGAGGAGGAGTCATGCAATAGGAGGGAAGAGGGGAGGAACAGGATGCGGAAGAGAAATGAGAGGAGGAGGAGGAGGAGGAATAGGAGGAGGAGGAGGAGGAGGAGGAGGAGGCGGAGGCAGAGGCGGAGGCGGAGGGGAGGTAAGGAAGCAAGGGTGAGAAGGGAGCAAGCGAGGCGGAGGAATGATGACGAGGGATGGGGAAGGAGGAGCAGTCCACAATTCGGGAGGAGTGCCCCCCCTTGCTCCTTTCTGCTCCATCCTCCTCCGCCTGCCCCGCCTCCTCCGCCTGCTCCGCCCGACCCTCCTGCACCTGCTGTTCTCCCTGCCCCTCCCCCATTCTCCCTTCTACGCCGCCTTCCTGTCCCCCAGGGGTCGAAACAAACAGTATTTTGGCGGTTTCGTGACCATTTTCGTTTCGATTTCGCTTTGCAGCAAGGGCGGATTGAAGACAAAACGAGGAAAAACGAACACGCAACGAACGCGACAAACACTGTTCGGGGCGTTCTCTGAATTGCCCCACGACTTGGTCCCCGCAGCCTTCCAAGACCCGCCCTTGCGAGGAGATCCGCAAGCGCCACCACCAGATCGAGAAGAAGCAGCTCTACGTTGACCGCCTCAACCGCGAGTACGACGAGAAGAGGACGCCTACTCACCATGGAGGAAGCGTGTCCTGAGGGAAACGGGTCTTGAGGCTTCTCGCCGTTTCTGGCTCTCCAGCGCCCTCGACGGGCCCAAGGACCGTCTGAAAACAACCCAGGATGATGAATTCGTCCTCCCTGGGAGAGGCCCTGGGAACCAACACCTATCTCCCTCAGGACCCGTTTCCTTTGTCCCATGAACGCCTGGTATGCGATTCGATGCGATTCGATTCGCCAGCTGGGGCCGCGATTGCGATTGGATTCGGTCCGATTCACCCGCATTGGTCGCGGCTCAGCGGAGCAAGGCGCGGCGATCCGATTTCGTCTCGATTCGGACCAATTGCTGACGATCCGATCCGTTCCGATTCCGGCCAGATCCTGTTTTGCGATTCGATCCAGCACAGACCTTTTTGGCGCCGGGCCATCGGAGGGCAAGCAGGCAGGGGGATGGGGAACCCGATGCGCATCACGTCGACGTCGCCGATACACATCACCGGCATCTCCGATGTATCGTCGATGCGGCGCGAATGTCCGACCCCATCTATTCGGACCCCATCTAGGAGGCCTCTCGTAGGGAGGAGGAGAGAAGCGAGTGGGGAGGACTGACAGGCAAGGGATTCTCGAGCTTTGACCCTTCTTTCATCGAAATGCTGCCGGGCCGATCTGACCCGTAGCGACAATAGCGCGGCCTGCCACCCGCAGCAAGACCGCGCCACGCAAGATCAGCACAACAAGACCCTTACGAAGTCCCAGGCTCGTCCCACGCGGCGCGAGAACTCCAGGAAAAAACAAAGAGACCCTCCTGCCCATCCCACCACCTCCCCATCCCTCCTCCTCCTCCCTCGGGGATTGCCAGATGTGACCATGGCCCGAGGCGACGCCAGCTTGCACCAGGAAGGCCCAGATATGGCCTCCGGAGCATCTCGCGAGATGGCCTCCGCATGCCCCAGGCTCAAACATCGATACGAAGAGCTTGGCCATGCGCACCCCTGGCAGCCTCCGATGGGCTCGGACATCGAAAGTCGGCCCCTGGGGCTCTCCTGGTGCGTCCCGACCAGAACCTCGGAGGGTTAACGCAGTCGTGGCCACGAGGGCGCCCCTGGAGGCGCAACAAGGTCGAGACGGTTTCTGCAGATACCTCGTCCTCGAGCCTTGATTCTGGCTGCCTCCGACTCCCCGAACCTCACCAATCCTTGAGCCCTGCAACTGCATGGGTGCTCGACACGGACTTCTTGGATTGCGCCGGGCCCCCCCCGGCGGCGCCTCTGACACCGCCCCCCGGCGCGCCAGGGAGGTGGGTCCAGTGCGGATCCCAGGAGTCCGCGAGGGGCTCAAACAGTTTCTGTTTATGTTGTTATTCTCTCGATCCTCGAGCCTCGATCCTGGCAGTATCGAGTGCCTCCTCTGCCATCGAGGGCCGCCAGCCGTCGGCCTGGCGGCATCCTGCGGGGTGGGTCCCATCCTCCCGGACGGGCTCGGAGGACCAAGCTCGAGATGGAGGCCGGCGAGGTGGCCCCGGGTGTGTGGAAGAACAACGCATGGCATGAGCACAATTTCTCCTAGGTCCGTGTGGACTTCTCGGATCGGCGCAGGGACCCCCTGGTGGCGCCTCTGGCGCCCCCCCTGGCGCGCTCCGCGCGCCAGGGGGGTCTCAGCGCCGACCCAAGAAATCGGTGCGGACCTCGGGAAGTTTTATGTTTATGTTTTTTGTTGGTTCCTCTCAGACCGCAGGGAGGAGGGGGGGAGGAGGGGGACAGGATCGGATAGAACCAGGACCTCAGGCAAGGGGACCCGGTTGGTGATTGGGACTCGAAGCCCCAAAAATGGACCGGGATCACGGATGACGGCAGTTCTGGTGAGTGGAATGGTGCGACGTCCCCCAGTACACATCATCAAACTAGGTCCCTTTAATAATTGAGCCCAGGTCACGCAAACGCCCGGCAGGGCAAGGAGGAGGGGATGGAGGGATGGAGGGAGGAGGGGAGGGAATGAGGGAGGGAGGGGGAGGACGGGGGGGGAGGGGCAAGCTAATTTGGTGCGCTCGCGTCATATCTGACATCCTACCCCTCCCTCCCGTCCCTTACCATGGCGTAGATCCCCTCTCTACTCGCACAGTCGGATGTCGAGCAGGGCAATGATCCCGAAAGGGTACGCGATGCGTTGTAGAGCACGGCATGGCATGGCGTAGAAGAGCACCGCAAAGCGTAGTATGTCACAGCATGGCGTGGCGTGGCGTAGTGAAGAATTGCATCACAAAGCTTCGCAACGCAAAGCATGGCACCACACAGCGGCCCCGAACATAACATTGCATAGCATGGCGTTGAAGATCAAAGCGTAGCATGGCATAGCACGACGTGGCACTTAAGCATTGCATATCACAGCTTCAGCTGAAGGCATGGCATCGCGCAGCGGAACGCAACCTAGCATTGCATTGCATGCCGTGGCATGGCACGCGAAATGACGCCAGCGCTGCAGCGGGAGCACGATTCGGAACGAGCGGAAGCGCGGAAATGAGGCCAGCGTTGCAGCGGGAGCACGATTCGGAACGAGCGGAAGCACCGAAATGAGGCCAGCGCTGTAGCGGGAGCACGATTCGGAACGAGCGGGGCCCGAAAATGAGGCCGGCGCCTCAGCGAGAGCAGCATTTTGAAACAAATGCAGGCGAAAACCCAACTCCGGGGAATCCTGTGTGTAAAAAACAATACGCGGGTGGGGGTGGGGGGGCGAACACTCCCAACCCGTCATCAGGGGAAGGAGGAGAGTAGTATTCATATTGAGTAATTGTGGAGGGCAGGAGGCAGGAGGGAGTTAAGAGGAGAGACGAGGAGGGCAAGCCAGGTGCGCTCGCGCCTCGTCTGACATCCTATCCCTTCCTCCCATCCCTTCCCATGGCGGTGATTTCGCCGACCTGCGACTCACACAGAAAAGCTGCTTCGTGTTACGCGCAATCGGAAAACAGAGGAGGTGCGTGCACAGGAGGAGGAGGAGGAGGAGGAGGAGGTGGCGGGTGAGCAGGAGGACGAGTGGGAGGAAAAGGATGAAGACGAACAGCAGCAGCAGGAGCTAAAGCGGAAGGATCGGGAGGGAAAGGGGGACTAGGGGAAGGCGGGGGAGGAGAGATGAGGGGTTCGACAATGATGAATTATTCGGATTCAGAAAGAAGAGCCCGCGTTGGGGCGAGACGAACAGTAGCATCAGGAATTGGAGTGGAAGGAACGAAAGGAACAGGATGACCAGAGAAATGCGGAGGAAGGGGAATGATGGGGGGAACAGTGAAGCAATATTCGGATCCAGAAAAGTGGCCCGCGCTGGGGCGAGAGCGCCATTCTGAGCGACGGAGCAACGCGCCGATCCGAACATGAGGCCCACGCTGCAGCGGGACCACCATTTGAAACACCGGAAACAAGTGGATTGTAAAACGCCATGAGGGAAGTCACGTTTTAAACCAGGGAGCCCCAAGAAATCACAAGACATTCCCAGGATGCTTCAAAATCATCTCTTAGAGGCCCGAGCGGGCCTCCAAAACGACACAGGAGGGCCCCAGACACGCCCAAAGAGGGGCCACAGAAGGGGAAGCGAACTGAAAATTCGAACTCTCCGCCCGAAGAGGCTCCCAGGAGGCCCCAAGGGGTCCTCAAGAGGCCCAAATAGCACCCAGAGAGGCCCCCAAGTGACCTCCAAGAAGCCCCAAGAGGCCCCCAGCAACATTCTGCTTCAACAAAAACTGCCCCCGAGAGCCTTGCGAAGAGATCCCACGACGCATAGGAGGAGTCTGGCCCACAAGCCAGGCATGGTGGCCGGATGGGACGAAGGCCACCAGATAGGACGACGAGAATGTGGAAAAGGACCAGGAGGGGGGGGGAGACGTCCCCGATCACCCCCCCTGGTCCCGCTTCGCCCCTAATTGCCCCTCCCCGCGCCCCTGATGTACAATCAAGAACGCGTTGAAGCAAGGAGCACTCAAGGTGCGGAAGGGGCGCTTTTCCTCCCAGGTCCATCCACGATTGCTCCCCCAGCGTTTCTCTTGCACCAAGCCGCCTCTGGGAGCCCAGACGCGGCGTTGTCCCTGGATCTGTGACAACGAATCCTTAGACAGCAACCAGCCATGTTGATAAATATGAGGTAGACAAAAAGTAAGAGAAAGTAGTTTTCCAATCCGGAAAATATAACATAATGGGTTTAGGTAAGAAGAAATAGTTTCAAAGTAGTGTCAAGTAGGAAGTCGTTTTCTCAATGTGGACATAACATCCCAATGTCAATTTGCGGGTGATGAGGACGCGCGCTGCGAATGTGTCGCATTGCGACCATCATTGCCGCGGTCATCCCGGGCGCGCTGCGCTGCGCCGCATTGCGTGAGGTTCGCTGGCGCGGGGCCGCGCTGCGCGAAACAAGCGCATAGTGTCGGGGGCCATAATACAGGGTCGCAGCGCCGGCGTCTTCTTGCAGTCGATACAGGGCGGCCCGCGGATTCCATAGCGCGCGGCGCTTTCTGCCGGTTGCAGCTTCTTGATCGGGGCCGAGCAAGTGGCGGGGCCCCGCCCGCCAGGCCAGCGCGCAGTACTGATATGGGTGAATATGGGCCCTTGCGCGGGGGCGGTTCGCCGATTTAGAAAGCAATTTCGGGGCGCCCCGCGGGCCCGCCAGGGCTGCCAGAGCCCTCCGGGGAGTGCCGCGATCCGCCCGCGGGCCCGCCGGCGGCCGGCCGGGCGGGTCTCCGGCGGGCCCGGGGCCCGCGAGAGGTGGCGCGGCCGGCCCAGATGCGCGCGCCGGCGCGGCCCGGGTTTGCATTTGCAAAACGCGCTGCCGCGGCCGAATTTGCGCGCGCCGGCGCGGCCGGGACCAGGCACGTTGAAACGCGCCGGGTCGGCCGGGCCCAGATTTGCAACGCGCGCCGGCGCGGCCGGCCCAGATTCGCGGAGCGCGCCGGCTCCCGCGCGCGGCGCTTCCGGGCGCCAGCGGGCTGCCGGAGGGCGGGTTAAAAAAACGATTTTGGAGTTACTTCACTTAGCTGTTCGGTCCCACTCAGC